ATAAACAAGGAAACAAAATGTATATCTAAAGAAAGGAATCACATATGATTCAGCAATGGAAACTATAAACTACTGTACTGTACACATAGCATGAATGAATCTCAAAAATAAAATGCTAAATGGAAGAAGTCACACAGAAGAGTGTATATTGTATGAAACTTTAGGAAAGAGTAATCTTTTCATTATTTATTTATTATTTTTAGGTTTTAAATTATTTATTAGTTTTACATTTTTTGTTTTTTTGAGACATGGTCTCACTAAGAAGTACACACTGGCTTCATGTAGCCCAGGCTGGCCATAAATTTGTGGGGATCCTCCTGCCTCAGCCTCCCAAGTGTTAGGACTATAGGTGTGTGCTGCCACACCAGGCTATTTATTTTTGAGATAGGATCTTACTATTTTGCCCAGGCTGGCCTCAAACTCCTGGACTCCAGTGATGGTCTTCCCTCAGTCTCCTGAGGAGTTGAGACTACAGGCACATTCTACTACACCCATTTGAACAACTTTCATCTATAGTAATAAAAAAGACCGCAGTGGCTGTCTGACATTGAGGGTGGGGACTGACTGGTAGAGGTAGAGGGCAAACTCTTTTTTTCAACCAGGGTCTCACTATGCAGTTCAAACTGATCTCAAACTCACAGTAATCTTCCTGCCTCAGCCTCCTGAGTGCTGGGATTACACGCATTCACTACTTTTTCTGTATCTTGATTGTGGCAGTGGTTTCATGGGTGTGCATTTCTCAAAACTTACTATAGCGTAACTGGAAAAGTACAGATTTTGATACATGTTAAGTCAGGCTAATAAAGCTTAGAAAAAATGGAAACTTTCTTCATCTGATAAAAAACCTACAGAAAATAAAATATCTGTTGTAGAAAATATTGGACAGCAAGAATAAACCAAGGTGTTTGCTTTCACAAATTATACTCAAGAGCTGCAGTACCTGACACTTTAGCTAATGTGAAATAAGCCAGGCACGGTGGCGCATGTGTGTAATCCCAGCATTCCAGGAGGCTCAGGCAGGAAACTCTCAAGTTCAAGCCCAGCAACTGAGTGACTTAGACCCTGTCTAAAAGTGAAAGAAAGGGATAGAGATGTAGTTTAGTGCAAAGGCCCAGGTTTCAAGCCTCAGCAACAAAACAAAACAAAACAAAACTTGGCATTGTCATGGTTCACAGATGCACTGCCATAAAAAAAAGTAACTCAAAAGAATCTACAGATTCATTATTACACATCAAAACTAAGTCAGGCATGATTGCACATGCCTACAATCCCAGCACCCTGGCAAGAGGATGGTAAGTTTAAACCCACTCTAGGTCACCTTAGCGAGATCCTTTCAAAGGGCTAGTGATGCATGAAGACCTTCGGTTCAATCCCCCGTACCAAAGGGAAAAAGTGCAAAAGTGGTCAATGCTACCTAAACTGATACACAGATTCAGTGCAATTAATTCCAATCAATATCCCAAAACAAGGAGTTTTATAAGCTTTCGTGGAAGAGCAGTGAGCCAAAAATAATAAAGATACTCCTAAAAAACCCACTAGGTGGGGAGACCTGTTTTTACCGACACCAGGACTTCCCTACTACTACAGTTGGAAAGGTGTTCAGTGTTGGTGTACACCCCCCAGCGGCACCCTGCCAAAGCCCAGGAGTAGCCCATGTACACGTGGACTTGAATATAGACCCTGTTCTTACACCAAAATCACACTTTAGGCACAGCAAAGATTTGGATGTAAAAGGCAAAACTATAAAATTTTCAGATAATAATATGGGAAAATAGCATTGTGATCATGGATAAAGAAACATTTTTTGAAAAAAACCAAAGGCAAATTTAAAAGGAAATACTAAGTTCAGTATACACTGAAATGAAGAATATAGGAACATACCACAAAGGATACAAAGACAAGCCAGACCGGAACGAGACGTTTGCAACTCAGATAACTCAAGAAGGACTATGGTGGCCGTGACTTACATAAAAACCTCCTAACTGAGCATGTGGCACATACCTGGCATCCCAGCACTCTGGGAGACAAAGGCAAGAGGATCACAAGTTTGAGCTCACCCTTGGGAATTTAGGAACTTAGCCAGCTATCCCACAAACAGTACAATAAAATACAATCAAAAATAAAAAAGTTTCTGGATGATGGCTCAGTGTAAGGGCTCTAGGTTAATCCCCAATATAACAAAACAGACAGGCAGAATTTCTACAATGAGAAAAAGAAAACACTACAGAAAAATGGGCAGAAGATCCGAGTAGTACCTCACAGAAGAGTGTGAATAGCCAAGTACACATGCAAAGAAGCCCAACCTCATCAGTAATCTGGAGAAGTCAAAGTGCAATTAGTGAGGTATTTCATATTCACCAAACTTACAAAAAGTACATGTCTGATAGTTTTACAACTTAATAGGAAGAAAAACTACTGACAGGAGTATATAAATTATTACAATTACTATAGGAAAAAACCTGAGCATTATCTACTAAAGTTGCCAATTCACATATCACATGAACAGTCACCCTACGTAGTTCAGGCTGCCCTTGAACTACTATGTAATCCAGGCTGGCCTCAATCTCATGGTGACTCTCCTTTCTCAACCTCCCAAATGCCGGGATTAGTTGTACACAACTGCACCCAGCCTGACTCATGCTTTTCGCCTTACATACCCTGTAGTAAACTCTTGCACAGTGTGACCAAACTTCATGGCAGCCTTGTTTGTAAGTAAAGACCAGACACCAGTGTCCATTGTCAGTAGTATGGATAAATAAATGCTGGTATTGTCCATACTTTATAGTTGAGAAAAGAATATATTACAGTTGTAATTTTCATGTGAATGTTTCATGTGAATGGCAATAAAAATAAATTTTTTGATGACAGTACGTGTAACATGATTTCATTTATATATTAATAAGCATAAGAAAGAAGATACTGTTTAGGAATAACATATGGTAAGAAAATAATGGAACCAATTTCTGGATAGTGCTTACTTTTGGAGGAACAAGGAATGTAATAAAATCATGAAGGACACACAGGAAGCCTCAAAGATACATACTGTTCTTTTCCTTCATCTGGGGGAGTAAGATATAAGGAGATTCATTGTACTGTTACACTTTCCACCTTATTTATCTTTTATAAATGCTATTTTATATCTACTCAGTATTAAGAAGGGCAACAAAAATAAAAACTAATGCCAAACTTATGATCTTCACACTAATACTGTCCTTGCTGTAATTAATGAATCTAATGATTGGCAATACCAGCCACTTAGTAGCTCCTGCCAAAGACCCGGAAATCCCCAACCCTTCCTTTTTGCTTGCTGTTCTCCTCCCTTATCCATTGCATTAGCAAGCTCATCAATCTCAGTATTTCCTAAATCTGACCAAGTCCCGTTATCTTCACACTTTGTCAAAGCCAACATCATCTCATGACTGGACAACCGCAAAAGTCCTAAGTGGAAGGCCGTTCAGTATGTCTGCTCCTGACAGCCAGAGCATCCATTCTCCTCCCTCCTCCTGCGCGGCACCCTTCTGGCCTTCTTCCAGTTCCCTGAATGTGCTAGTCCTTTATTTGGCTCAGGGTTTTTGTTCATGCTTTTCCCTGATTGAAATTCTCTCCCATCACCCCTTTCCCTCCATGCAGAGCAGTGTTACTTCCTGAACGGGAGCATTCTGTGACTCCAAGATTAGGTCTGATATCACGCTGCTGTAACAGAATCCTAAATCACCTCATAGAGCACTAGAAGCTAGCAATATATATATAATGATTAAAGCCTGATTTCCCCTTTATAAGCACCAAAAAAGGGAAGGGCAGTACTGTTCAGCATAGGATTTCTAACGCCAGTACAGAACCTAACACACAGTCAATAATGAGTGGCCTTACTGTGATCATAGTCTAGACTTCTTTGAGTCTCCTTTCTCCAATTATAAAAAGGATGGATAGTTCTCAAAGGATGGATGGTACTCTTATAAAAGAATCCCCCAAGGCCCAAAACTGTATACCTATTGCGCCCCTGGTCCATAGATTCAGATGGACTCATTCTGCCTTCTCCACTTCCTGCTATCCTACCTATCCCTGATGTTCCAGCTCCGCCAGTAAGGCTTCTTGGATGCCTAGGCTGGAAATGTGCTCCTCCCACAGTAAGTCTTTTGCACAGCTCACTTATTTAGGGCTGGTTGAATTCGTGAATTGCTTTCCTTGTGGGTACAGAAGTTTTGATTTCTATAATGAAACTGTAAGCCTCGGAGAGAGAAGAGTATGTTTGTCTAGATTTTAAGTTCATTGTGGGCAGAAACCTTACATCACAGTTGTTCATTCATGTAAGATGTATTTATTGGGTGCTTCTTATTGTGAGGTGACAGAGCATAGTAGAGCCAGTAAGACTTAGGTTAGGGAACTGGTGACATAGCTCAGAGGTTGAGTACGGTTGAGGCCCCGCGTTCTATCCCAGCACCACCCCCCCCCCCAAAAAAAAGACTTGAGCTTGAATCTAGCTCAATCACTTACTATATAAGCCACGTGGTACTTTAACTACTTACCAGTCCAATTATTTAAATAGGGGTGACCAAAAATTGCATATTTTTTGTTAATTTTTATGAAATAATACAACAGGAAATATAAAAATGACAATTTTACTAAGCGTATTCAATATAAAAATCAACTGGTTGAAATGACACCTGCCTGAGTGACACTTGAGACAGTTTGAGATAGTTAGGATGTAAATAATCGCCGCCCAGGTGCCCCTCAGGGAAACTTACAGCAGTTAAGACACATCTGAGCAGCCCAAATGGTGCACTCTGAGAGGCACTGCTGGATACTGCTGACCTCTTCTGTTAGACAACCTTTCTGAGCTGGGAAGCTCTTTTACCTGAATGTAGCTTGGCTAGAACTGCAGATAGAGCAGGGTGAGAAACACAGGTTGACCCCCAAGGATGCTAATCCAAGGATGAAATTCTGATGGGATTAGATTTGAGTCTCTACTCATGAATCCTAGGAACTCATGCACTATTTACCTTTTCCAAATCAATGGACAGTTGCTGAATGAATGCTTGGAGCTCTTGTTCCTTTTGTTCCAAGGCTGTGATCTTATTTTCTGCACCTGCTTTTGCAGCTGTCACATGATCTCTTCATCAAAAGAAAGCAGACAAGGAAAAATTTGGATAATTCTTTTATGACACACTCTCCAAAGGAAAAATGCACATGGTTTCCTCTATGTGAGGGCTGCAAACACTGTTAACTACATGGAGGTTATCAATGGAAAACACCTGCTGGCTCTCTCCAAAGCAGAACCCCAAAGAAAGAAGTCCACTCAGGTTTGAGCAAGAAATCCCAACCTGCCTTTGCTTACACAATACCCATAGAAGTAAAACCATACTGAACTGCTCAGCAGGAATGGATCAGAGTGCAGGCAGGTGGAGAGGAGGAAGGCTCCGTAGGATAGGGTGGAGAGCCGGAGTCCTGGGCAGGTAAAGGCAAGACTGGAGGTCTTTACCAGCACTAGTGTCTTGATGAGCAATGGGGAAAGGTGAACGGGCTACAGCCTGAGCTACACTAACACCTCTTCCCTCGGACCCCACAGACCAAGCAAGAACCTTTGCTCTTCCAGCGTTGAGTAGCATCTCTGCAACTCTTCTAGCTTCTGCCTTAAGTCTGATGACCTCTGATTAGAAGTCATCAATTCCTCCTGGGTTCGACTAAGTTCTCTGGTCCGTGCCTCCAATTCTTGCTGCATGTTCCCCAGACTTTCTTCTTTTTTTAAAAGCTGATTCAAAGACATAGAGTTGCATTAGGCTTCTGCTAAGAAATATACTTTGTATTCACGCTTCTGAGACTGGTCTCACCATGTAGTTCAGGCTAGTCTTGAACTCACTACATAGCCCAGGCTGGCCTCGAACTCTTGGTGATCCTCTTGCCTCAGCCTCATGAGTGCTAGGATTACAGGTGTGTACCACCATGCCCAGCTCAAGAAACATATGTAAAAAAAAGTAAATAGCCAAAATTTTATAACATGTTTGTAGTATTAGAAGGGGGTTTAGCTGGATGTCATGTGCCTATTGTAACAGCTATTTAGAAGGCTGAGGTAGGAGGATCATGAGTCCAAGGGCACTGTGGGCACATGGCAAAACCCTCTTTCTCTCTCTTGCAGGGACTCTACCATGAGCTATACCCCCAGTTTGAAATTCTGTCATTTATTAAAAAAAAAGTACAAGCCCAGAGGAAGAGCTATATGCTTTATACTTAACAAGTAGGAAAACGAAATGTATTTCAAATAGAAATTTTCTATTTCAGTAAATTTCAAAACATTTAAATGTGATTAATATCAAACACTGTAGGTCTATTCATCAGCAGTTAGACTGATGATCAGCCAAACTGAGAGTACGTTATCATTATTTGTAACTCAGTATTATTAGTATTCACAATCTAAAACAAAATGCATACCATGTGCTTTACTTTACTTAGTTCCTGTTGCTGGAACCCTTCTAGTTCATCAATTTCATCTCTCCTTTGGAACAGATTCAAACTCTGGTTCTCTATTTCCTGTAACTGAGCTGTCAAAAATCTTTTCTCCTATTTGGAAGAAGACATTAATTCAGGCAACTAAGAAAACAAGCAGAATTCTTAATAAAGGAAAATCTTATGACAATAGAAAATAACACAAAATAATGAGAAGTGTTTCGCTTATATTACTAATAGGGCATTAATTACCATTAAAAAGAAATGTTAATTAATTGATAATTGGGAAAAAAAGGAAGAACAATTACTCAAAACTTTGTTAAGTCTGCTTAGCATTTTACATGTCTATTCTTAGTGACAAATTGAACTGGCTGAAAAACATGAATAACTGGGATAAAACTAAATGTCCTAAAGAGCTTATAGAATTTAGCACATTAGAAAAATTAGACTTGATGTCCTAAATGCGAACTTTTCAAGACAGACTCTTTCAAGGGGTAACCATCACAGTTTTCCTGCATGTGGGTGTGCTGGGGCTGGAACTCAGGGCCTTACATATGCTAGGCAAGTGCTCTACCCCTGAGATAATTTCCCAGCCCAGTTTTTAAGTTTTAATTAAAAAGAAATTAAGAGTCTTAAAATAACAACTCTTAAAATGTGGCTTCAAAGACCTACAGAAGTGCCATGATCAAAATATGTGAATATTTAAATTAAAAAATTACAGCAAAAGACATATTGCCATTAATCCCCCCTCAAAATACTCCTCTCCCTTTGAACACACTTATTCCATTGCTCTTGCCAATTACTTTTGCTTTGTTTTTTGAGACAGGGTCTCATTAGGTAATTCAGGCTGGCCTTGAACTCATATGCAGCCCAGGCTGACCTTGAATTCATGAAGATGCTCCTGCCTCAGCCTCCCAAGTGCTGGGATTATAGGTGAACACCACCACACCTGGTTCTTGCCAATTTCTGAAGTAGTTCTGGAAGTCTTCCTTCATGTCTTTTCAAGGTGTGATAAAAAATATAACGAATGCTGGTGCTGAGTGACATACAATGGAAAGGAAGGCTTGTAAAAACACAGTATGTCTTCATCCACCCTACTCACTGGATCTGGCACTGTTCAATTTCTGGCTCTTGCCCCAAATCAGACGACCATGAAAGGGAACACTGTGAATCTACTCAGGACATTCAAGTGGCTGCACGGCACAACTAAAGATACTCATGGAAGAACTTTGAGAACTGCTTCAGAAAGTGGCAGGAATGATGAGATGAACTTGTTAAAAATAAGCAGGAGCATTTTAGCGAGGGGGTTAAAGGCACTCCATCTTTTATTATATGTATAATTTAATCTAAACATTCACTGTATTTTTAGATCACACTTCATAGATGTCTCATTACTCTTTCTTTTTTTTT